CTTCCCAAATCATATAAAATCGATTTTTTTTTACTCAGTAAGATGAGTGTTACAGGGTAAATTCGATTTATTGTTTGGATAACTAAAAAAAAAAAGGCTTCCTATGCACGTTAAAAAGTACCGAATTCATTCTGCTCTTTCGTGCATTTTGCCTAAATATTTTTTGCCTATACGAAATTCTGTTTCGCCTGCTAAATTTGCAGGGAGACGCAGGCTTTTAAATTTTGCTGAATCAGCAAAAGCTGGAGAAACCATTGGAATAGCTGGAATAAAACGTGCCACAATCAAAATACAGCTTGTCAAGACCCCAAAACAAACGTATAACAGGGTTCTAACAGGCGAAGAAGTAACTATTTAATGGAAACTTTGATGAATGTCAAGAAAGAGATTGATTCGTTCTTTCATTATCTACGTCTCATCAACACTTTGCAGGGTTTGTTGGTTTTGTTTTTTTAAATCAGAAAATATTATGTTTTAGATTGCAATAATTATTTTTTTTGTAAATAATGATATTAGTGATACAATTTCTACTAATTAATCCATAGCGGTTGGAGAAGAGTTGAATTCATACCTTTTCCAAAGCTATTTACGTGTAAGTGAATATAGCAAACCAAACATGTACTCGGATTTCCGCCTAACAATTGTCCGTTACCCCATCCGCACAGACAAGCTTTCAACCCGTGTTATTCCCAAGCGGTTACCCATCCAGTTATTGACCATACTCGACGTTGCTTAAATTCGGTGATCGTACAAAAACCGGTATTTCAACGTCAGGAAGTAAACCTCCTGAAAGAGAAACAGTCACTAAGGTCCGTATGCATTTGGGATGTTAACATCCTCTTGCATGGAAAATGCATGATTCTACCTCTTCTCCTCCAGTTATGGCTTAATTAGTATTACTTGTGTCACTAAAATCATTATTATTACAAAAACCTGTATCACTAAATCATAAATGTCGCCCATATCTTACAATCTAAAAGTATGTTCTGTCGTTAAATAATCTGCAAAGTGTTGTAGAAAAAGAATTATTAATTCACATCATTGTTTCCAGGCACTTTTTTGTTCCAGTCCTATGATTTATTTATATAATATAAAGATATATATATATATATATATATATATATATGTGTGTGTGTGTGTGTGTGTGTGTGTGTGTGTGTAAATATAGTATATATATATATATATATATATATATATATATATATATATATATATATATATATATACACACACACATATATATATATATATATATATATATATATATATATATATATATATATATATATATATTAATTTATAATAAACTTTTATTCTAGGATTCCTTTATAATGGAATGTCATTCAAAACTTTAGTCCTGTGTATGATGTTAAATTACATCCGACAGGACATGATCGGAAGATTTTGAGGAGTGTGGAAACGCCTCATAATTGATTGTCGTTCTCACATCCACCCTAATCCGTGGCTGGTAGCACCTGATAGAGCCCCAGCTCCTAGTAAAATACTTAACTCACAAACTAGGGTCAAAACACGATGAAAGTATAAAAATACATTTTTTATATTAATAAAACAAGCAATATATATTTATAGTAAAAAAATATCAAAAATATATTTATGTAAAATAAATACACATTACCAGCTAGATATTTTTGCACAGAAATAAAAATATTACCAGTAATACATTTTTGTAAAGAAAAAAAAAATTACCAGTGATACATTTTTGTAAAGAAACAAAAAATTACCAGAAATGCGTTTTTGTAAAGAAACAAAAATATTATCAGAAATATATTTTTGTAAAGAAACAAAAATATGACCAGCAATACATTTTTGTAAAGAAACAAAAATATTACCAGCAATACATTTTTGTAAAGAAACAAAAATATTATCAGAAATATATTTTTGTAAAGAAACAAAAATATTGACAAAATGTCATTTTTGTAAAGAAACAAAAAATATTACCAGAAATACATTTTTGTAAAGAAACAAAAATATAACCAGCAATACATTTTTGTAAAGAAACAAAAATATTAACAGAAATGCATTTTTTTGAAGAAACAAATATATTATCACAAATACATTTTTGTAAAGAAATAAAATTATTGACAGAAATGCATTTTTGTAAAGAAACAAAAATATTACCAAAAATACATTTTTGTAAAGAAACAAAAATATTACCAGAAATGCATTTTGTAAAGAAACAAAAATATTACCAGAAATGCATATTTGTAAAGAAACAAAAATATTACCAGAAATACAATTTTGTAAAGAAACAAAAAATATTACAAGCAATACATTTGTGTAAAGGAACAAAAATATTACCAGAAAAACATTTTTCTAAAGAAACAAAAATATTACCAGCAATACATTTTTGTAAAGAAACAAAAATATCAGAAATGCATTTTTGTAAAGAAACAAAAATATTACCAGAAATACATTTTTGTAAAGAAACAAAAATATTATCAGAATACATTTTTGTAAAGAAACAAAACTACTCTCAGAAATACATTTTTGTAAAGAAACAAAAATATTACCAACTATACATTTTTGTAAAGAATCAATAATACTATCAGAAATATATTTTTGTAAAGAAACAAAAATATTATCAGAAATACATTTTCGTAAAGAAACAAAAGTATTGCCAAAAATGCATTTTTTTGAAGAAACAAAAATATTATCAGAAATACATTTTTGTTAAGAAATAAAAATATTATCAGAAATGCATTTTTGTAAAGAAACAAAAATATTACCAGCAATACATTTTTGTAATAGAAACAAATATTACCAGCAATACATTTTTGTAAAGAAACAAAAATATCAGAAATGCATTTTTGTAAAGAAACAAAAATATTACCAGAAATACATTTTTGTAAAGAAACAAAAATATTACCAGCACTACATTTTTGTAAAGAAACAAAAATATTATCAGAAATGCATTTTTGTAAAGAAACAAAAATATTAACAGAAATGCATTTTTTAAAGAAACAAAAATATTACCAGAAATGCATATTTGTAAAGTAACAAAAATATTACCAGAAATACAACTTTGTAAAGAAACAAAAATATTACCAGCAATACATTTTTGCAAAGAAACAAAAATATTATCAGAAATACATTTTTGTAAAGAAACAAACATATTACCAGCAATACATTTTTGTAAAGAAACAATAATACTATCAGAAATGCATTTTTGTAAAGAAACAAAAATATTAGCAGCAATACATTTTTGTAAAGAAACAATAATACTATCAGAAATGCATTTTTGTAAAGAAACAAAAATATTAGCAGCAATACATTTTTGTAAAGAAACAAAATTATGACCAGAAATGCTTTTTTTAAAGAAACAAAAATATTACCAGAAATGCATTTTTGTAAAGAAACAAAAATATTACCAGCACTATTTTTGCGTAAATGAAATTCCTAATACTTACCAGAAAATTATATTTTTGCGTTAAATGACACATAAGTTGTTGATATACGACTAAACAAACAAACAAGCATTTTTTTTAATCTTTGGTATTTCATCCACCATATTGATCAGGTATTCCACGTTTGGATGTACAGAATTCTCCAAAACGAAAAGAAAAGAATAGAAAAGAAAATCAATTTCCTGGAAAACAATGTGCATTTATTTACTCAGAAGAAACAACAAAAAAAGATGTTTTATATCGAATTAAATTGCCTGAAAGGTAAGGAGATGATAAGCAAACAAAGCAATATATCATTCAATAACGCTATTTACAACATTGTATTTTGTTAGTTAGCTATATAAACCGAACGGTCTTTATATCACCTACAGTAGAAAGATATATTTGCAGTACTAAGGAAACTAAATCACACTGGGAATTATAGAATAAACCAGAATTTACACTAGGTGGAAACCACCTGCTAAAGAAGAAAATATATATTGCTGTTGTTATCTAGAAAAGGTTACTGAATGAGGAATAACTAAAACGGAGTTTAGAAATGTAATGGTAATCTCCATAAGATCAGCAAAATACAATACTCGCCAGCGCCGTGAAGTAGGTAAACCACTGCTAGTGGTGGACTACTTAGCATATTACACCCAACCCTTTTACAATAGTGTCCAACGCATACCAAATAGTGTTCGTAGGTACGGTATCTAACAAATGAGTAGCGACAAAAAAGAGAAATGGGCGTGAACCATGGGCGGTGGCTTCTATCCAGATTTATTCAAACTATACAGCGACACAGTCGTTAAAGAATTGGAGAGCCTAGCAAGATTTATTATCGGTTGACGTAATCTTAACAATATAAAATACGCAGCTGTCTCGATAGTAAGTCTTGTCAATTCGATAAAGTCATATTGGCATCTGATTTCCAAAACTACCTTCAGTGTATTGTTAACTGGGGCAAAGGATGGCTTCTTAATTTTAACGGCTCCAAAATTAAATGTTCTATATTAACCATCTGAGAGACCCCTTTCTGCTGACTATCAATATGGCTGGCCGCCATGAGAGTGACTCGTTGCATCTTCTCGGTCTGACATGAAAGAGAAAGCTGCTAAGAAAGTTGGTTCACTGTCTCGTGCTAGAACCTATCTCCAGAATCTCTCTTGCATATTGATAAGACCATGCTTAGAATATTGCTGCTACATATGGTCCGGCGCAGTCGGCGACCGTGTGAGCGGCTGATCGGTTGAACTCTCTGTCTTCGGGCAGGGAGGAACCCGAACGAGGCTACGCGGAAGGGCGGACTCTCTTT